GTCTATATATACACAACCATGCCCAGCTTTTAACCCCCCCCCCCCCCCCCCCCCCCCTTTCCTTGCTTCTATTTCATTCTCCGCCACTCCATGATTCGCAAGACTTATTATATAGACGGCGCAAATAGAGTAAAAAAGAAAAGCACACCTGGACCAGACCCAATGCTGCCCTTCGTGACCATCCTGCGCCTTGCTGCGCTGCACATCGAAAGTGGTGTAGTATGGTGTCGTAATGGAATGTCAGACATAAGAAAAAGAAAAAAAAGGAAATAATAATATGGAAAAAAGAAAAAAGAAGAAAAGAAAAAAAAGAAAAAGGTCCAACCAAAAAATCAAGACCAGTATCCGTCTGTCGTTTTTTTCTTCCCTCGCAACTCCTCCTCGGTTGGTCGTAACGGACACGCGCTCCCATCAATGCCGCGGTTCTTCTATTGAGTGGCAGGTGGTATGACATGGATGTGGTGAAAGTATGGAGTTGATCGATTCGCTATTCTGTTTCCAAGCCGGGGGTGTTTTTCGCCTTGAACGGTCCATCGCCTTCCTCTAGCCCGGGCCCTGCAGGTCTCTTTCTGCCATCTAGTATTTGGCTTGAGCCGCAGTCGCCCGGATCCAGAGAGCAAAATGTCCGTCTCACCGGCAGGTTGGTTTATTTTTCTGTTTGCTTCAAGGAATCAATCTCCAGTAGAATTAAGAGGGGCGTCGACATAATTTGTCGGGGTACAATGTCGCCAGCCATGCATGGTACTAAATAAATCCCGAAAAACTCGCAAAAAAAACCCAACGCCTGCTTTAGCCACAGCAAATGGTCTTCATGAACTTCTGGAATCCGCTGGGCTGCTGGGCCTCGGCAGGTCGCGCACTAGGCTGGCCCGCTGCCGTCATGGGGCCCTGCTGGCTCGTTACCGGCTGGGGGAGGTTCTGGGTGCTGTTCTGGAACTGGGCCTGAGTTGAGCCAGTGGGGGTACCCATTTCGCGAAGACCTGTTCCACTCATCCGCTGGGCTGGCAGTGCGCCGGGGGCGTTTGGTCGATCTCTCTTGCTCCCCATCTGCTTGATCGGCGAAGGAGGAGGGGGCTGCGCGGCGTTTAAACGGCCGACAGTGAGATTCTGAGCCTGCTGTTGAGAGCTGGTATTCCCAGGACGATGACCACTGTGCAGCTCCATTTGAGAAGGACCGGGGCGCGCGTTTGGGTTGTGCAAGTATGCGGCGCCATGATTCTTCATCGAGTCCCACCCCTTTCCCGAATCCTTGCTGATCTTCATCCAGTCGTACTCGCCATCCTCGACGTCGCCAGCGTTCTTCAAGGCCTGGGTGAAGAGCTCTCGAAGGTAATCGTAGTCGGGGGTGTCCTCGAAACCGAGGTTTCGGACATATGTCAGGTACTTGTTGAACTCCTCGGGGAAGCCCTCACAGAGATCCTTAATGGCGGTGGTCTGCTTCTTCTCGCCAATCTTTTCGTATTTTTGCTTGTTAGTAGCAGCTTTGAGGCCCTGCCAGGGGAGGCCGCCACGCAGGAAGTACATGAAAACGTGGCCAAGAGCCTCCAAGTCATCTCGTCGAGACTGTTCGCGGCCAAGATGCGTGTTGATACTCATGTAACGGGCAGTGCCGGACAGCGACTTCCTCTCACGGTAGGGGATGTGCTGCTTGGTCTTGGGGTCTCGGTATTGCTTGGCCATACCGAAGTCGACCACGTGAATGACATTGGATGCCTTGGTTCCTGGTCGTCCGATCAAAAAGTTGTCGGGCTTGATATCACGGTAAATGAGGTTCTTTTCGTGTATCGTCTGGACTCGGGAAAGCATCTGCTTGGCGACCATGACGACGGTCTTGATGGTGAACCGACGTCCGCAGTGGTCGAAAAGGTCTTCGAGCGAAGGCCCAAGCAGGTCGATGACAAGGATGTTGTGCAGACCCTCCTGTCCGAAGTAGTAGACATTGGGAATGCCGGCTAGAAAAAGCGCGCCGCGTCAGCATCAACCGTCTGCATCGTTGGGGTTTGGTGAAAAATGAATAGGTGTGGCTTACGGCAACCAACGAGAATCTTATACGTGCGGTACTCATCCCGAAGCTGTGGTGCATCACTCTTCCGAGGTTCCTGCGAGGCGGCAACGTCAGTATTAGTAAAGGGGGGGGGACGTGAGGGTCGACACGACAAGGCGAACAAGACGCGAACGACTGGTCTTTGGCGTGCGGACGTCGCTATACGCGGACACGGAGGCTTTGGCTACTCACAAATTTGATGGCCACCTGCTGGTTGTTCAACAGATTGGTTCCCTCAAAGATGACTCCAAAGGAACCCTCTCCAATTTTCTTGCCGACCCGGTAGTGGACGCCGACGACGTTTGAGGACGAGGAAGCCATGGCTGCGGTGTTGGAAGAGCGACGTCGAGATGTCGAAAGAGGCTCGAAACGATGGAGGATAGAGGGCGAAAGAAGGATCGTCGACTATTCCGGTCGGACGAACGGTCGGGGCGGCGAGCAGACGAGGCTCGGGAGCAACGAAGCAGCCCCTGGACAGGGGGGAGATCCAGAGGATCAGAGGGCCGGAGTCTGTGAGAAGGGCCAAAAGGATACAAGCAGTCAGCGACGATGTGAACTAAGCATTCCGGCGTGATGCTGGTTTGGAGGCGATGGCGACGGCGATGGTGATGGCGGTGGTGATGATGGCAACGCAGCGGGCTGGAGAGGATTGAACGACAGAGTGCAGAAAAGGACGAAGGAGCGAGTGGACAATTGCTGGGGTGCTCATTTTGGGGCGAGGCAAAGTCTGCTGAGGCGGGCAGGGGTTGGGCAGGGGCTGCGCTGGGGGTCCGGGCGGTCAAGCCAACCTGGGGGTTGTCCCGTGTGGCCTAGAGGGCCTGCGACGAGCGCTGAGTGGCGGGCGGTCCACTAGCCCGGCCGAGGCGCTAGCGGTGCATCCAGTGCCTGTGCTGGGCTCCATTGCACAAAAAAACGGAAGCCCGTTCAGGTTCAGGCTAGGTACTGTCCACTGCGGCAGCCAGAGCCAGCGCCTACAGTACCTGTACCTGTACTCTGATGAGCACGAGAACAGCCAGACACACAGCGGCGACACCGCGCCACCAGCCCACAACTCGCCGGCAGCCGCGCTTCTTGGGCCGCGAGGTTATGTTCAGGTTGACCTGACCCTTTCGGATCCAGGCACTCTGCGGTTAGCATCTGCAGTAGCAGCAAAGTCGGACTCACCCGGGCTGGTAGCTTGTCGCCACTTGTCGCTCAAAGTTTTGTTTCAATTCAATTCGATTCGATTGGATTCAACGGGATGGCGAGACTTGGGAGAAAGATTGGATGAAGAGTGAAGAATGATGATTCTCAGACCACAAGGTACTCGTCCACGGAGGAAAGGAGGAGGAAAGAGGAAGCCGGGAAAGGGAGAATGCGAAATGGGACGCTGCAAGGTTCGCCAGTGCATCCTCGCCCAGGGTCGCGCGATTTCTGTACCCGGGACCGCCAGGGTACTCGCGTCCCAAGTATCTTTCAGCCCTGCCTGCCGCCCAAAGATACCTCCCTTGGTGTTTCGACGCGTACCGGGAACGCGAGCTAGGCGATGGGTTGGAGCGCAGGGCTCTGCAATAAATGGAGGTACCTGGACGGATTCGGCCGGGCAGAAGTTCTACCACAATGCAAACGAAGCTATGGAGCAAGCTTGGTATCACCTTGGCTCCCACGCGACTCGGGGGCCTGGCTTCTGCTGAACAGGCCCAAGTGCTGGTGCTACGGGCAATGTTGTACTATGTAAAAGCAACTGGAGATGAGCGGCTTTCTCAAATCCATTGAAGGACAATCTGGACTGGCCTGGCCTGGCCTGGCCTGGCAACCTGGGTTGAAACCTAATGCTACCTAGCACGGAGAGCTAATAGAACCTACGGTCGGGTAATACCTCCATGCCAGAGTGAGGTGGTGCCGTACCTTGGAGTACCTTGGAGTACCTTGGAGCAGTGCTCGCCCCATTGAACCTGGAGAACCTTACGGCAGCTCGTGCTTGGGCATGAGCATGGACGGAATGAGTGCGAGCGAATCCGTCAATGCATGCAGCCGGTTTGTTTTCTCGCGGCGCTGGGAAACGACTTTGATGGGAGCAGCAAGATGGAACGTTAAACCATTGATCAATCTCTACATCACACGGATGCGGTAAGCCCTACCTACGCCAGCAGGTACAGGTACGGCATCGTGCAACAGAATCGGCATCGTCATCCACAGAGGCCATTTCGCTTCCCAAGAGCTCAATGCGCGTCAAAGTCAATATTACCGCTAATAAGAAACACCAGCCAACCCAGCCCGGCCCTCCACGGGCACCGCCGATGGTGTTCCGAGTCGTTGCGCGCTTGGCATCGACCAGCCGGGTGCAGCCTGGCGTGTTGGCATGGGCGGGATCGAGAAGGGCTGTCGCTTGACCCTCGCATTCCCGCAAGCTCCAATCAGTGCCTGCTACGTGCATCCAGCTTTCCAGCACCAGCATCCAGAGCGTGGGATTTCCGATGTCGTCTGTCCACATCCATCCACGACGGCCTCAGATGCGAAGAGCCGACCTTGGACCGCCGGTGACATGCCGCGATGCTGCTGGTACGAGTACGGCCAATGTTCCTACCGCGCCGTCGTGTGGATCGCCTCGTACCAAGTGCATATTGACGCTTGTACCTTGGGATGACTGCTCCGTAGGTACTACGCTCAAAGATGGCCAAGCTCGCAAGCACAATCGTCTCCGATCCCAGAAACAGCGTCCCAGTTCCGTTAGCCGCGCTGGGGAGCGAGCAGACGAGCTGCCCCATCGTCTCCACGGCAATGATAGCAATGCGTTTCGCTATACGGAGCTCTTCATAACCGCCCCCTGGTGAACTCATGGTACCGTGGCTTGTTGCCCGAGGTTTTGCTCATCGCTAACGACGGTCCCTTTGCTCTGCGACCCCCCTTACCAGCAAATTTGTTTGCTAATTATCCTCACCTTGGATCCCCCGGCCAGGAAAATGTTTGGGAGGCCAGTACGGATACGGAATGCTGTCACCTACAGTGGAAAATGCCGTGGTAAAGCGGGAATGGCGACGGCAGGTACCTTGCCTTGCTTGCCTTCAAGTTCCTTCAAGTTACTAGCACGAGCACGAGCATACCGTCTTCCAGATACCTAATATTACAGATCCATTCTGCGTTATTAACTGGCATTGGCATTTGGGGGCGAGGCATGGCCGGTTTCGTCTGTGTTCGATGTTGGGTCGAGCACGGAGTAAAAAGCAATTACAGCTGCTCCATCGTCAATCAATCGTTTGCGTCTCTACTGCTGCCATTGTCGCAAGATGGCTGCTACTACAGCATTTCCCCCTTTCCTAGTGTACGATACGAGTACAGCTGGACTTGTCAGAAGCCCATGCACGTACTTGTACCTACTCAGATACTCCGTACTTGTGCAGCTTGCCGTTGCATTGATCGAATCCTCATCCCCGCCGTCAGCTACGAGGCACTCAATGAGTGGCTGGCCGTGGCCAATAGTGCGCTGCATCTACTTTCTCCTCTGCACCGCTAGCCTCGTCACACGCAGCGGCACATGTGAGTGACGCTCAGGTGCTTGCTGCCCTTGCAGGAGAGTTGAGGATATCTGCTGGGTCAAGTCACACCGTCGTGGGGCCCTTGAATGCATGCAGACGTGCCAAACACGGCCGACGACACCGTACCACGTACTACTGCTCGCACCTGTCTCTAGCCGACGATCAACAGGATTCGTTGACGGGCTTATCCTCCCTTTTTCTCCCTTTGTCGCCTCTATGGCAAGGTCTCAGTTGCGGGAAAATGGGCGGGCGTCACTACCTGTTAGACACACGGGTAGCCGAGTTTGAAGCTTGAAAAATGCGGCACCCAATTGCCGGGCAACGCGCGGATCCCCTCGAATTCCTCTCTGTATCAACTTTGCACTCGGCATGAAATGTTTGTAGTTGGGGTTATGAGCCGCCCCGACAGCTTCCAGTATGCTGCAAAGGCGTCACTCCGCAAAGGGCGTTGCCAAGTAACCGCAGCATTGAAGACAAAACACAGCACGGCGATGCGCAGTTGAAGTTCTGGTCCAACAAGCTGCGGGAATGGATACAGTATATATTGCTGCTTACTCCATACTACAACCACGGAACCGAGAACCGAATCAGCAGCGTCTTTTTTTCTTTCGGGGTAATCCTGGGGACTAGCTCTCCGTTCAAATTGGGGGGGGGGGGGGGGGGGGCTTCGGGGCACGGCGCCTTTTGCTATCCCATCTCTGCGCGATAGATCGGCCTTGATTCCCCGAAGCTTTCAAGGCTTGTCTGTCCAGCTACGGGCCGTTGAAATCGTTCGGCGTGTGACTCAAACGGCGTTTATCGGTAGAATGAACTGCCGCGATACGGACGGTCGATGAGGAGTTTTGAGATTAACCAAGCCCGAAAAAATCACCGGCGCTTTGGTTCAAGATGGCCTATCGGCGATGGGAGACGGCGACGTGTGGCTTTCGTGGAGTTTGTCTGCCTACCCTGCAACTGGGCGATGAGATGTACATTTGCACGCAATTCTTGTTGATTTACGCAACTGGGCGTCACTGTAACGAAGTCTGGCGTTTGCATCAAGCCAGGCTCCTTACTATTGAAGCCACTTACCCCGAGACTTTTATTTTCCTCGTCTATCAAGGTGTCTGCGCTGCATGCTATGCTGATACCCTCTGTTACGCTCAGTACTCAAGTTCCAATGACGATATGCCTAGTGCCGATATCTGCTTCAGCCGCTCGCATTTAGCCCAGCTAGTTCGATCCACAACCTTCAAAACAACGGTTGCAACTCTGCCCGTCCTCGTGCTTAGAAATCCGGACATATCGTTGTTATTGGACAGCCGCCAAACGCAAGCACTTTGCGGCTATGTCCATTCCCACTTAAGCAAGGGGCCCCCAGAATTCACCTCATGGGACGGAGCATAGATGCGGCTTCTCCCCGTCTCGGTGGGGGGCGTTACGTCCTCGCTAGGTTGAGATTGATGGCCATGGACCAAAGTTGCCCCGCGCGTTTGAGGGAGCTGTATGTTTGTAGATGGGGATCGCAATTTACCCCTCCAAGAGGGGATATAGGACCTGTGGGCTGAGGCACTTATAAAAGGACAGCTGCTTCGGGTTGCTCAATCGTCTTGGCCTGTTCTGCGAAGCAAACGTCTCCAGATTCCAATCCGACTCAGACACAATGGTTGCCACCACCAAGCCAGAGGGGCTCCCCCCCATGACATATCGATTCCTGGGACGCTCAGGTCTGCAGGTCTCGTCCATTTCTCTGGGTGGATGGCTCACATACGGCGGCCACGTCGATCGAGGTGCGTAAGAGCATTGACAACCTGTATCTCCAAGAAAACGAGGCGGGGACGTGGAGAGACAAGGACAAGAGAAAAAAAAAAGGAAAGATGAGAGGGTTTATACTGACTGATGGTTACCAGAGGGCACCTATGCTTGCATGAAGGCTGCCTATGATTGCGGCGTCAACTTCTTCGACTGCGCTGAGGCCTATGCCGGCGGCGAGTCTGAAAAGGTCATGGGAGAGGCCATCAAGAAGTACGGCTGGAACCGTAACGACTTGGTCATCTCCACCAAGGTACTGCGCAGCCCCCTCCATGATATCAATCCGCATCTGCTGTCACAGATCCCAATTCCGCTAACCTTGGTCTCTTTCTCCTCGTAGATTTACTGGGGTCAAGCCTATGGCAACAACCCCGCCAACAACCTGGGTCTCTCCCGGAAGCACATCGTCGAGGGTGTCAATGCTGCCCTGAAGCGTCTCGATCTCGAGTATGTCGACCTGATCTACGCCCACCGCGCCGACCGCAAGACCCCCATGGAGGAGGTTGTCCGTGCCTTCAACCACATCATCGACTCCGGCAAGGCCTTTTACTGGGGTACGTCGGAGTGGACCGCGGTCGAGATCGCAGAGGCTTGGCGGGTGGCCGACAGGCTGGGCCTCATCGGCCCTCTGATGGAGCAGCCTTCGTACCACATGCTCAACCGACAAAAGGTCGAGGGCGATTACGAGCTGCTGTACCGCGAGCACGGCCTTGGCCTCACCACCTTCTCCCCCCTGTACCAGGGCATCTTGTCCGGCAAATACAAGAACGGCATTCCCGACGACTCGCGATTCGCCCAGACCCAGGTTGCCTTCGTCGCTGGTTACTGGAAGAGGACCGGAAAGGAGGTCTGGGAGGGATACATCGAAAAGGTCAACAAGCTGGAGCCCATTGCCGACAGGCTGGGCGTCAAGCAGGCCGCTCTGGCCTTGGCCTGGGTGCTCAAGAACGACAGAATCAGCTCTGCCATTACGGGTGCCAGCAGCCCTCAGCAGGTGTACGAGAACGTCAAGGCCTTGGCCGTCGTGGACCAGTTGACACCAGAGATTTTGAAGGAGATTGATGAGATTCTGAACAACAAGCCTCCTTCATTGGTGGAGAGAGAGTAGAGGGTATGATTAGAGAAGAGAAGAGAAACAAAAAAGTAACGAAAAGGGCTATGGCTTGAACAATATAATGACTCGGCGGCTTGCTGACATCTCACCTTGCATCGTTTTAGCAATCTCCCGTGACGTATCTTCATAGACTATCAATATCCCCAAGCCATCGACTAACACTACTAGGTACTAAGTGATTGAGTAGGGCTTCGTTGCTTTAGTACCTATGGAGTTGAATCCACCAGCATCCCAATATAAGACCGCCAGCTCATACACAATCCCAACGTTGACATGTACTAAGCCCTAGGAAGATGACACAAAGTTTAAAGCAGCCACTAGCTATTATCAATCAGCAGAAAACAGCATCTCCGAACAACGCTTACCCCTCCTCATCCACCTTATACTTAAGCTTGTGTTATCCGTTCTCAAGCTCATCAACTAGCTCTACTTGCTACTGAACCTCGTTGCGATCCTACACTTGAGCCCCAGTATCTTCCTCGTTTCTTTGCATATTGCCAAATATGGCGACTTCAAAGATTCAGCAGTGGTTTCCATGGGTGGAATCGCCAGTGATAGCCAATGCGCCCATGGCTGGCGTCGTCAGCGCGGAACTTGCCGCTCAAGTTGCCAAAGCAGGCGGGCTCGGTATGTGACGGCTTCATTTTACGCGTAACCATGACCCCCAAAGAGAGAAGAAACGCAAAATATATGATACGGAGGATTATCAAGAATAAGAAGATGATAAAAAATTCATCAAAACAATCCATAAACCACTAACATTATGACCATAAAAAAGGCTTCCTGGGCTGCATCGCCGACGTCAGCGATAACTCGCCCCAAATCACCAAACTGGACGCCGACCTCACCAAGATTCGACAGCTTCTGGGAGACGCCGCCACCACGCCCTCGGGCCACCTCGGCATAGGCTGCGGCTTCCTCTCATGCCACAGCTCCATAGGCAACTTTGCGGCGACGGCGCTGCCCGTGATCCAGAGGCACAAGCCCGCGGCGGTGTGGCTGTTCGCGCCGCACGAGAGCATCCGGCCGCAGAAGGAGATTGTGCGGCTGCTCAAGGGGCTGGAGACGGCGCCGAGGGTGTTTGTCCAGGTGGGCAATGTGAGGGCGGCGGAGGAGGCCATCAAGGATGGGGCGGATGTGATTGTGTGTCAGGGGACGGATGCTGGGGGGCATCAGTTTGTGAGGGGGATGGGGGCGGTGCCGTTGCTGGCTGAGACGAGGAAGTTGGTTGATGATAAGGGGTATAGTCAAGTTGTTCTGTTTGCGGCGGGAGGTGTTTCGGATGGCAAGGGCGTGGCGGCGATGTTGACGCTCGGTAAGTCTGGTTCCTTGAAGATGAAGATACGTATACTTGGTTGCTAATACGTGATGTAGAAGCTGATGGCGTTGTCTTGGGCACAAGAGTTTGTATTCCCCACGGCCCATATCAAGCAGACTTGCTTCCTCTGGACACAGACTCATACCAGATCCAAGAGAAACCAATCTAACCGTGCATACAGTTCACCGTTGCCGAAGAAAGTCTCATGCCCGAGTTCCGCAAGAAGATCATCCTCGACACCACTGACGGCGCCCTTTCCACCCTCAAGTCCCCCTTCAACGACCAGATTGCCAACTCGGGCCTTTGGGGATCCCTCTACGACGGCAGAGCGGTTGTTGGACCCATTCACGAAAAGTTTCTTGCTGGGGCGTCGTTTTACGACTGCTGGAGGAGCTTGCATGATGATCATCCACCCGAGGAGAGTGAGAAGTTGATCAACACCTGGGCGTGAGTCTTCCCCCTTTTCCTTATTGCTGGCTTTACCCCCTCCCCATACTTGTGGGGTTTTGGTTTGATATATGCTGTCATTGGGGAGGCATCGTTACTAACGAGCTTGACATATATAGCGGCGCCGGCATTGGGTTGGTGACGAAGGCGCAGCCTGCAGGTGAGATTGTACGTGAAGTTCGTGAGGGAGCCAAGCAGGCTATTCGAAAGGTTGCCTCTCGTGTATAAGTAGTGAAAGCAGGCACAGGTCACATCTTGCATCCAGTGTACGCTTAATACTCATGGAAGTAAAAAAAAAAAAAAAAAAAAAAAAAAGGACTCCGGACTAGAGACATGTCCAGCCGGAATATGGTATTCTCGTCTATGCCAGTATTCATAAGGCACTATAACCGACCGTCCCCAGCCGAACTCTTTTGCGGCCGGGGAACAAAGGGGAAAAAACAGTAACATCAGTGGTAGTAAACAGCGATGGTATGATACATGTATAAAAACAAAACAAATTTGCCGTTTAATGGTTATTTCCACCTGTTTTCCTCATACTCGACAACCCTACTTGCCAGCCTCGCTTTTTTTACAGCTTGGCCTTGGTCTGGGCCTTTTTGAGAATGGGCTCCATCTTGGTAGCCTTCATGACGTCGCCCTTGACCTTGAGCTTGCCGGACATGAAGAGACGCTGGGCCTGAGCCTTGCCGGTGACGAGCTTGCCAAAGTCCTCGTCGGAGAGAGACAGGGTGACTGGAAATTACACAGAGTCAGTCAGCCAAACGGGGGAGAAAAAAAGCTTTTAAAAATGAAAGCAGGGGAAGAAGCCCTCGAGAATAAAACAAGGGGGAAGAAGCGCCATACCGGTGGGGTTCTCGCCGACGCCAGTGCCGACCGTGCCCTTCTCCTTGAGGTCAATGTGCCAGCTGGCCGTCTCGCCGGCCTTGTTCTTGAGGGTGAAGGCGAAGACGGCCTTGCCGTTCTTGATGGCGTCCTTGCGGTCGGCTTCGCTGCTGCTGAGGGCGGCGTTGATGGCCTCGAAGGCCTCGGAGGAAGGGAATGCGTCTGCAGCGCGCGCGCGCGTGTTAGCTTTCGATCTGCGTTTCTGTGTGAAGCGGCGGCGGGCCACGTTGTTTGCTTTGCTTGCTTACCGTTCTTGAGAGACATTGTGGGCGAGTTGTAGCTGCGGGTGAACGACGACAAAAGAAAGCGGTTTAATGCGACAGTTTAAGATGGATTGGAGAGAGTTGAAAAAAAGAGAAAGAGGGCGGAAGGGGAAGATGTCAATTGTTTAATACGGACGATTATAGCCGGAACTGATGGGATGGCTCAATGGAGGGATCGGGCATGTGATGCGAGCCTCGGCCAAACTGCCAAACTTGCTGACATCATCCGTCCTGCACCACCGAAACAGCCGCCAGAGCTTCAGCGCTTTTGCCTTTTTAGCTTTGCTGCTGGGGCTAGGCTGGATCGAGTAGGCCAACGAAGAGATGCAGCGGTTGGTCTCTTATTCAGTGCTTTAGACAGTATTATGTTGAGAGATGCGCCTTACGAGTATATGGCATGTGGTACTCTAGGTAGGTCTACGTTTGGTTGATGCGCTTTTCGGTTATTCTTACGCGTGGGGCTACCCCGGATCTTGCACGTGGTGATTCAAAGTCCGAGCGAAGGCTTGAATTCGGCAATGGTTTTGAGCTAGGATGTTGATCAGCGCGTTGAGAATTGGAGTTGAGAATCCCATTAATGACTACATACCTAGGTAGAATGAGGAGAAAACGCATGTACATATCCCTCACCTCAAAAGGATGCACTCAACGCCCATGCTCTATACACAATGCCGACACCCCAATAACAAGACACTGGCCTCGATATCCCGTTTATCCCGTGACCCAATTCATATGTATACCTTGTATAGAAACATCTATCCAGCCTTTTCCGTGATTACCGATTCAAGCACTCTCAATGTAAATCATCTCGGCATAACGCCAGTTTACAGCTCCCACTCAGGAACGGCAAAGTTGCGCTGCTGCGGCCAGTTCTCGGGTCTGCATACACCACATGTCACATGTCAGTTGGGTGCTTCCCGAGACCAACCTGAGGGGGGGGGGAAGAGGCACACACCTTGTCAGCATCAGCGTTGCCATCCGTCGCCTTCGCTCTCCCAGCTCTTCGGCCGCGGTCAATCGCAGCCAGTCCCCAAGCCGGGTCCTCAGCTCCGCCTCACTCTTGCCCAGAATATTGAGGCCGCGGTCAGAACAGGCGATGCGCAGCTCCTCCACTTCGAGACCCGATGGGCCATCGCCGTCGATCAGTCGTTTGTCGTCGATTTCCAGGAACGACAAGCGCAGTCTGCCCTTGATATTCCACATTCCCGGAGGAGTGAACCCCAGCCGATCCCACATGGCCCCCGGGAGATCCAATGCCTTGAGAACGTGCCGGTGCGCCACGGCCTTTGTGACTCCAGGGCTGAGCGCGCCTTGAGGGTGCTTGCTTTCCAGCTCGTCGAAAGCAATTGCACGCCGCCGCTCGGCTTTCTCAATGGCTTCGTTGAGTGCCTTTGGGAATCGGCATGTGTACGGCAATATGCCGGGCACAAAGATAACAAGGATAGGCGTGAATTCGCCGCAAATCAAGAAGAACAAGGCAAAAGCGGGCAGTCGTAAAAGGTCATGCCTGGTTCGCCATAGCAGCACCCAATCCGCGCGAGAGAATGAGTTGGGAATATAGTGCGGCTTAAACCAGGATGGCCGCTCTCCGCGCGGCAAGCTCTTGACCTTGGCGTTGAGCAGCCTGAAATTTGCGACAACGGCCTTGACGCCTTGAGCGAAGAATTTGGCATAAGATTTGCCTAGCTGGAAGTAATACTTGATCGTAGACTCCTGTGGTTCAACGGGTAGTAGCGGTGGCGGCCGAGTTGAAGCTGGAGGATTGAGGGCTGCGTTTACGGATGCCGGCCGTTTGGCGGCGAGTCTGGTGTTCTTGTCATTGCGAAGGAGTCTTGATTGATGCACAGCTCGACTGATGCGCAGGATTTGCGACTGCGCGACGAGAAGCTGAGGGCTGAGAAGCCTCCTGTGGGCTGTGAAGCCATATCGCCGTGTGATGTGATAACTCATTGGCGCAAACTGCCCTCTTGCCGATATCGTTAGACTGAAGGAAGTCAAAGAAAAGAGGACTAGATGGATTTTTTTTAGCATCATGACCGGCCGAAATTGGACCCAGTTGCGTGGAGCAGACAGCGTGGAAGGCTTTCCATACCTTGAACCAAGTTTTGGACTGGAGAAGTCCAAGCAGTCTATGTGTCGTCTATTTAATGTTCCATGATGTCAGTGCTCATCAAACTGCTAAAGGGTTAGTCGCGTAGATCTGATTGAGGCTGGCTAAACAGCTGGTAGGTCGAATTGTTACACACATTCATTCACACGTCATTGAGGGCATTGCCAATTCAGTTTGGAGATCAATTACTGGTGTTGTTAAAATGAGAAAGAAAGAAAAGAAAAAAAAGCTTTGCTGCATCTTACCAACCTAGGAAATTCGCACTCCGCGGGCACGTTCTCTCCCGTCCGGAATTCATTTGGAGTCCGTGCGGGGAGAAGCGCCAATGAATATCAAACGCCCAATACTTTGCCTCGGTGACGAACTAAGACGCTCTGATGATTTGAGAGCGGCGTAAAAGAACTATTTCCCTTTTCTGAAATAAAGAGGAACAAATAAAAAGAACTTGTTTATGAGGCGAATTGTACCTCTGGCTCTTCTTTCATTTCCTGCTCGCAGCTTGTCATGGATTTACCCTGTAGTCTTGGTTTACTTGATCTTGGACTTGTTCCGGTTTGCTTATCCTCTGTCCCTGTGCAAGTCCAATCTCAAACTGCCTTATATCAGATACGCTCGGCTGTCTCGATTGCATGCCTTGTCGGATCTATATATCAATGGATACCTATGTACCTGCACCTATAATAGTACGTAGTGCTCTAATACCGCAAATCTCCGTTATACCTGTTCTTCCAACATCTCCTTTAGCCACGTCAAGACAAGAGGCCCATTGGACGTCATCTTTGAGAAATCCTCAGCACAAACATCTTCAGCGGGAACGGGAAAAGAAAAGGAAAAAGTCCCCACCCAGCCCCGATGGCGTCAATATTCGGGTCTTGCTGAGGTGGGTTCTCATCTCGAGTTTTCGGTGACTAATCACCCGGCTCAAAGCTCTCCCACATCCTTCGAGAAAAGGCATTTCATGTTCTGAATCGCGAAACAAGCCTCGCCGTTGCCGATCTGTGAGATTAAAAGGAGATTGATTGACGCCAAGAAGAAAACAAAGTTCTCATCTGCCGCCAGGGGTTACCGAATAAAGGAGAAGCAAAATTCCAAGGAAAAAAGGAGCCATGGTTCGTTCAGGGTTACCCGGTTGCTAGCCAGGAGAATGGAGAAGGGGAGGCTGGTATGCTCACCTGAAAGCTGCAGGTCCACGCCGATGCGTCCAACTTTGCCGAGGGCATCACCAAGGATGATGCCTATGAGCAGGTGCTGCTCCAAGCCGAAGGGCTCTTTTACGGTCAGCGCAACTGGGTTCGTCAATCTCCTTTCCTCACCGTCTTATGTGCATGCCATGTACCAAGGCTAACAATGCGGCTCCTCCGGTGGTGAACAGGTTTGGTAAGCGATCTGAGCATCTCACATATGACATTTGATGACCTGTATTGACATGAGGTGGCCAGCAACCTCTCCAACGCGGCTTCACTGCTGTGGCATGCCTACAAGTCCCTTTCTGCCCCGAGCAGCGAAGTAAACTGGGCAGGTGAATGACAACCCAACCCTTTCAACTCTAGCCATGTTGCTTGGAGATGGACACAGACGAAGGATTTATGCTTACATATTACGTCGTTTAGGATTCTATGTGCTGGATCCCTCAGCCAGTGAGCAACTCATCTTGGGCCCGTTCCAGGGCAAAGTTGCCTGCCAAACCATCAAGTTCGGAAAGGGCGTCTGCGGCACCGCTGCGGCAACCAAGACTACGCAACTAGTCGAGGACGTGGAGAAGTTTCCCGGCCACATTGCGTGTGATAGCGAGAGCCAGAGCGAGATTGTGGTGCCCATTGTGTCGGGTGACAAGGTCGTTGCCATCATCGACGTCGACTGCGCCGTCCTGAACGGATTCGATGAGACGGACAAGAAGAACCTTGAACAACTCGCCGACCTTTTGTCAAAGAGCTGTGACTGGTAGACGAAATTAATGAAGAGAAAGAGAATAAACCAAGTTATGTTTCTGTTACGTCCACCCGCATTCTTGGCTTCTTGATTGGCGCTTCCACGTTGTAGTCGGACTTGAGCCTCAGTGGATGGAAAGATTCAATGTCGTATCGCTTTAGCTGTCGTGTCGGCCGCGCGGTCGATGTACGACTTGACTTGCGTACCTCAGTAAGGTAGGGGGCGGGAATACAGATCAATACGAGCAAAGTTGACAATCTTGACCTACCCTCCCTACGTAGGTACTGTTCATCCCACCGATATTTCATCGAGAGATGCATCTTCCACTTGGAGAGCAAAACAGTAATAAACAGTACGGAGTAGAGATGCGTCACTTTGCCTGCCAATTGCAAGTGACACAGTGACCGCCAGTTCAGGTTCAGCATCCGATCCGCACTCTGATCATATATGATACGGAGCACACCGTATATTATGCGTCGCGCGGGGAGTCTCCGTTTAGGTAACGAAAAATATATCCAGATCCGCAATCCAGGTAAAGCAAAATATCGGGCACGAACACAGATGGCAGGGATGTGGGGTTGAAAAAAATCAAGTTGAGCTCCAAAGAGGCTGCCGGTACCCGCTGCTGACGCCTCCTGAGATGCGCAGCTAGGAGAAAAACGCTGCACCAATTCCACACGTCGCGGGCGCTGAGATTTCTGATTCGATGGCATCATGTGCGGGACGGGATATTTGACGACCGTTGATGGGTGGCAGGGCGACGTCAGCTGCTGGGCTGGGCTGGGCTTGGGAGGAAGAGGAGGAGAAGGAGGAGGAGGAGGAGGAGGGAGCAAGGATCAATCATGTTATCTTGGATGGATGGAGTAGGTAAGTAAGGTTGGAGGTTAGACAGAACAGATAGAGAGAGAGAGCGGGCGAGACACAGCATGAGGAGAGGGGATCAATGGCATCAACACCACCCACATTGATATGTATACTGAAGCTCCAAACCCAAACCAAATCGCTGCAGAAACGCGCGTGGGCAGCAGTGGTGAGACGCCCAATCCAAATGCCATGTGCAATGCCGCTCCAGCAATGCAGGGAGCCCGAACTGCGTGTGCCGATCGATCGTCATTTTGATTTGCTTGATGCACAACTGATGTTGATTCATCAATCTTGTTCCAGCTCTCCATGGTTGCTGAGCACACGGGGCTCCGTTGACAGGGCACCGCCCCTGCTGAATGAGACGCCGGGCGGGGCGGAGGCACAGCTCTCGGGCCACTAGACCGCTGGAAGCAGCCAGTGAAGCGGCGAGGCCCTTGCAGTAGCCCTTCTCCAGCCACCTCGATTTTGGAGACCAGCAAACCAGCCACCCAAAGGGCATCATCAAAGGGATCGTGGATGTGATCCTTGGGCCAAAGGGCGGGCGGCTTGCTGCAGTCGCTTCGACGCCACGGCCGTATCAAGCAAGACGTGCAGCATCGCTGGACCAGCCCTGAAACATGGACGCAAGCCGTCGATGGGTGTAGATGTTCCGGGGGGTTGCCCTGTAAGTGTACCTAGGTGTAGGTCGTGCAAAGTCGCTGCATGGAGCCTCAACCCGACCTGGACTGCATTGAGCACTCGCAACAGCGCTGCAGCCGCTGAAAGAGCCCGCTGGAAACGCTCCCTGGAAGGGCGGGTGTACTGGCACAGCAGTTGAGTGTACGGAAGTAGGCGCTCCGGCCAAAGCGGTGCTGTGCTGTCGCAACATCCGTGCTCCCTTTGCTGCGGGACGCCAAAAAAAAAAAACATGGACCAGACCTTGAATCCATATCTCTCCGGCTACGGCACACACCCTCTTTTCTCTTCTCTTTTTAACCTCTGCATTGCCGTGGGCATGCTGAGCAACCGCCTCGGCCAAACCTTTTTTTTTTTTTCCCTCATCCAGCTCTTATACTTCGTTATTATTACGTTCAAGGTTTTGATCCGTCGTCATCACGGCCCTTATCTGGCACAGCCTTCTGAAAGCTTAATGGTGGCGCCCAATTACGTGGGCCGCTGATCGCCATACCGCTAACATACCTCGAGTGCCGCCCATGTAAACAAATAACATTGATTTAGAATTTGAATCATGGAAGCCTCCAACTTCTTGCCTTCCAAAAACTCTCGAGGCAGCGCTCTTGCGAGCCTGTTCCAACCTACCATGGCCATGTCCACGGCATCCAAATCCTTTGCCATCAACGGTCCGCACACGGCAGGCCTCTTTGCAGACATGAGCGTCGACGGCCCCATCATCGGCACTCTCGTTGCTATTGTCGACCGCGCGAAGAACTTGCCCAACCGCAAGACTATTGGCAAGCAGGATCCTTATTGCGCTGCCAGGCTGGGAAAAGAAGCCAAGAAGACGGCGACCGACGTCCGAGGCGGCCAGACGCCCAAGTGGTAAGTTGTTCCACTCTCCATCATATTCCCCGTCTTGCATCTTGGTGGTGAGACACTTTGGGAGCTGCGGCTGACCTGGGCCGTCCGTGTTTCTGCAGGGACCAAGAGCTCCGGTTCACGGTGCACGACTCGGCCGACTACTATCAGCTCAAGGTCTCCGTCTTCACCGACGATAAGAAAACCGACCTCATCGGAGAGTCGTGGATCGATCTCAAGGGCATCATCATTCCTGGAGGTGGCCAGAACGATGTGTGGCAGACCCTGACCTGTCGCGGCAAGTATGCGGGGGAAATCCGACTCGAAATCACCTTCTATGACAGCCGGCCCAAGCCCGACAAGCCTGCCGCCAGACCGAGACAGTCCATGGGCGGCGAGCTGGAGAACTCGTCGCCTAAGCGCAAGGAACTGGTCAAGAGGCGTCCCCTACCCACCGATCCCGTCACCGGCGAGGTCACTGCAACCCCTTCAGACTATCACCAATCACCTTCTCGGCCTCAGGGCAAGCCCATCTCGCACTCACCGTACGGCTCTACCAACTCTCTCGGCGAAACTGCCGAGTATGGCACTCCGCCTCAGGGGAGCACTCGATCCCGTCACGCAGACTACTTTTCTTCACACTCACCTGGACCCCAAACCCATGGTTCCGGTCGTGTTGAGGGGCCTCGCCAGCCGCGTCCGATACGACAGGACTCGTATGAGAGAGAGCGAGGCTATAGCCAAAAGATACCCGTTACGTCCTATGACCAGCATGACCCTCGAGGCAGTAGCTACTCGCTCGCCGGAGAAACGTATGACATGAACCCTACAGATGATGCTGCGCAGTATTCTCCTCACGGAGGCCCCCGACAGGCGGCTCCTCCTCCACCCGCCCACCGATCACGGCATAGCACTAGCCAAGAGGGCCTACAACGCAGAAATGATGAATCGCCTCAGAGAGCCATTCCGCCTGCATCCATGAGATCTGATGTTTTGAAGAATGAGGCTCATAGAAACACCACGCCAACCTACCCTGGCCGCCCACAGTTCCGGCCCTATGACCCGAGCCTAGCAGCTCACCCCCCCATTCAGAAAGCCATTGCATATGAGCCGCACAACTCTTACGATGCCTATGATGCCCAATATCGTTCCATGCAACCCACTGTAGAGGACGTCCCGGAATCGCCTCCAGGCTCCATACGGAACAGGCCTCGCCGAAGTATCCCTGGGCTGGATGAGATTGTGTATGATGCTGGCCAGATGCCCATGTCGACAGGCCTCAGTCGTTCCCCAGGAGCGTCTGCCGGTTTCCTAAGCCAATCCCCGGGAGCTTATCCGACATATCAGGAGCAGCCCCGGAATCCAAACTCTGTCTCCCCTCTGTCGGCAAGAGATTACACTGAAAGTCCAGGACAGATGACGCAGTATTCTTACAGCAGCCAAAGCCAGCGCCCTAATCAACAGCGCGAGCACGAAACCACCTACATCCAGAGCTCTCCGAGCTACGGACTCCCCGCGTTGCCGCCGTCTCTGGCTCCTGGAGTAGACCCCAACATGGTCCAAGAGATGTCCGACAGGGCATACGAAGAAAGGCATTACGATCGATACAATAATCACAACAATCAAATTGTAAGCACCTCACTTCGAGACCGCCATAGGAGCGAGCCGCCACCGCCTTCGCATGAGCCAGCCTTTGGCACCTCGCCGCAGGCCTACGAATCATACGACAGACCAAGATCGGGTACATATGGCGGTGGACCTGACCCGCATGCGCAGGGATATCGAGATGCTTCCCCTAATCCCCAGCATAGAATTCGGCGCAAGTCGGTCAGCCCTGCACCTCGTTCTTCAGACAATAGGAGGCACTCAGACATTCCGTTCAGTCCAGACTCCTACGAAGCGTTTAACCCTGGAGTGTCTTCTAGGGATGGATCGCCCGGGCTCGATCCGTCAGATTCGCCTTCCAAGATTGTGACACACGATGGTCGAGAGATTGACCCATCTGACCATCTGCCTGAAGAGTCTTGGGCTCCCGAGCCGGAGACCAAACCTTCTCCGCAAGAGCCCGTGCAGTCTCGAACCAGGCCGCCCTTGTCTGGAGCGCAGCCGATGCCCCCGAGCGGCCGAAGACCCCTTCGAATCAGTATGGCTAGAACCTCACAGGCGGTGGTGCCATCCAACGCCTACAACTACTCAGAAGGACCGCGTGCTCCCCCTCCCCCAGCTCAAGGTGGGCGACAGCGTCTGCAAAAGAAGGCCCGTCATTCAATGGGGCCGACAACGTCGGCTCCAAACCCAGGCAATTTCCAATATGGTTCAGCTCGTTCACGCGCTGGCGCGTGGGATTACCCAAACGACAACTACACGCCTCAGTATAACGGCGGTCATCAAGGACCTCCTATTCCAGCCAAAGTGCCACTCCCCATCATGAGCGGCGCCAATGGAGGGGCGGAAGATATGGCCCTGATTCAGGAAATGTCAACGATTGACATTGGCACGGGGCGTTCTAGACGCCGAGGAGGGTTTTGAGGCTTTTTGATTTAGCATTTGCCCTGTACGAATATTCAATGAGGTTACATAAACTGGTAACAGGAAGGATACGGAGTGGCGTCTTTGGAATTTGGAATGATTTGCGATGCATGAATCCCTTTTTTTTCCTCCTTTTCACTTCTTTATGAATACTAAGATCGGCTTCAGATATGACGTGATGTATTAGTATAGTTAGAAAACGAGTCAATTGAATAGTGCGGATAATATCTTTGCGTGTATACATGTGTTGATCTTGTTTCAATAAGACAGACCTTCATTGTAAATTAGGTAGCTGATGCGGTAGCAGATGATGCTATCCCGTCGCCAATTGCGCTAGTCTGCATGTGGCATAGTAGTGCCGCCCCGCGAAAGGTACGCTTCCGCCTAAGATAAGATAAGCAAAAAAAATATCCAGTGCATGGCCGTTTGAAGAGATCATCCTTTCTCACATCTTGGGAGGGCATAAAAAAAAGATCAACCACCAAGACAGCACTCGTTCAGTCGAAACAAAGCGCTCTGAAAACACTGTCGCCATTAAGAATCAGCCAGTCGAAGTGAAATCGCACAATGGCGACACAAGCGACGCCCTTGCCAAGGGTGAAGCTGGCATCTGGTCCCGCGCCTTTGACAGCAGAGCAGAGATACTGGAAGGCGTTCAAGAACCAGCTCCTGATCCCGTCGCCGACCAATTTCCCGATTACTCACGTCTCGAACAGCAACGACTGCTTTGCCGTGACGACAGGCACGCGCGTCCAGATCTACTCGAGCCGCACCCGCAAGCTGCTCAAGACAATCACCCGCTTTGGAGATGTGGCGCGGAGCGGAGAGATTCGCCGGGATGGCCGCGTGCTGGTAGCCGGAGACGACACGGGCAGGATACAGGTGTTTGATGTGAACTCTAGGGCTATCTTGAGGACGTGGCTGGAGCACAAACAGCCGGTGTGGACGACGAGATTCTCGCCCGTGGAGCTTACTACGGTGCTGAGCACGAGCGACGACAAGACGGTCAGGTTGTGGGATCTGCCCAGCAGCGAGCCTACGAGCACGTTTGTGGGACACTCGGATTACGTGCGAGCCGGAAGCTTCATGCCGGGAACCATGGCCAATATGGTGGTGTCTGGAAGTTACGATTCGACAGTCAAGCTCTGGGATCCGCGGACAGGGAACAACGCTGCGGTCATGACGTTCAAGCACGCTGCCCCCGTCGAGAGCGTCCTTCCTCTGCCGACGGGAACGACTGTCCTGGCTGCCGCCGGTAGCGCGGTCAGCGTACTCGACCTCGTTGCCGCACGACCGCTACATCTCATCACCAACCACCAAAAGACAGTCACGTCAATGAGCCTGGCCTCTGGTGGCCGCCGTCTTGTCACCGGTAGCTTGGAAGGCCATGTCAAGATGTTTGAGACGACTGGGTGGAACGTTGTCAACAGCTTCAAATACCAAGCCCCTATTCTTTCCGTTTGCGCCATCCCCTCGAGCGACACCTCTGATGCTGGCGACCGCCATCTCGCCGTCGGCATGCAATCCGGTGTTCTTAGCATCCGCACACGACTTACCGCCGCCGAGGCCACGCGCGAGCGTGAGCGTGAAAAGGAAATGGATGCCCTCGTTGCTGGCACTATCGATTCCCTTGACGCGAAGAAGCAGAAGCGCAAGCGCCGCATCGAAGCCACCAAGCGCCTCGATCTTCTCGGCGAAGGCGCCGACGTTGTCATCGCCAATGAAGGTCGCGCTCACAAGAAGGAGAGACCATGGCAATCAGACCTCCGCCACGCTCGCTATGCTAAAGCCCTCGACCAAGTCATTGACCGTTCATCACCCGAGTACGCACCCCTTAACGTCCTTACCTTGCTGCTCGCGCTTCGCCATCGCAGCGCTGTACGAGATGCGCTGGAGAACCGCGATGAGCAGAACGTGCAGCCCGTTCTGAAGTGGGTATGCGGACACATTTGCGATCCCCGCTACGTGAGCATCTGTGTGGAAGTTGGAATCCACTTGTTGGATCTGTATGCCGAATACGTCGGTGCTTCAGCAGAGCTACATCAGGGATTCAAGACTTTGCACAGGAGAGTCAAGCTCGAGGTTGAGAGGGCGCAGATAGCCTGCCAGAGCGGAGGAATGCTAGAGAGCTTGATGATGGGGGCGATATAAAAGGGAAGGGAAGGGGCGCAAGCATATTAGAGTGCAAAGCTCCCTTGGGGCGTATTTACACGAGGGGAGGAAAAGGAGGCGGGGAGCATTTGGTATAGTTTGGCGTTTTGGCGGCATCATTTGAGGCTACGAATGCCCGTTCGTATAAAACTTGGGAATTCGATTGTGTATTTTTTGTCTATCTGACTCGAGATAAGTAATACAAAGTAAAAAGATTCAGTACAGTTGCGTTGATGAGTTGTGCGCTTGATAATGGAGGAGCGGCCACACCAGACGGGAATAACATGGGAGTCTTTTCTATTTGGAGTGGCATCGTTTTCTGCCTTGGGGCAAACCCTTGAACTATGAAACGGAGAATATTGACCTATGAGACGGAGAATATTGAAGTTACTGTAGTATCAAGCTGTCGATTATATGCATTCCAAGGAGTGCTCCAATTCACAAGTTCTGGCTAACATGTCCGTATATACCCACCGTTCGCATGACAGGGTTACATGCAATATATACTCACATCTATTAATTTGTCTTTCCATTCTGGCAAATATTCAAGGTTACGGCAACCTTCCTCTTCAGTTGGGTACATTTATAGTGAGAAAACGAAGCCATCTCAGCCCTTTTCGCGGGCCTTTCCATCACCAGACTTTTGCTAACCCTCCATCTGCAGACCACTTTGACGTATATCCGCCATCCAGATCAGGGCGATTGTATCTACATACTGTTAATTTGTCTTTATATCAGACTTATACTTAAGCTTATTGCAAACTTCCTATTTAGTTCCATACAGCTGCCGAGACTACAGAGTATAAAAGCCAAGTCTGTCTCCCCTTCAGGCTACAGCAGCCGGCACTTGAAATCCCTACCTTTCAAATACATACTCAAAAGTCCCACAGGAGCACTCTTTTCGTGATGAAGACCGTGGCAGCTATTCCAGCGCTTTTTGCCGGCCTCTCTATTGCCGGCCCTTTGCAAGCCCGCCAGTTACCGGATCGCTTTGATATAAATGGCTTTTCTGTGCAGTGCCAGACCTCTAGTTGCGAGTACGCCGCACCCCCGCCTACAGAGATGACGATGATGACACTCAACTGCAATATTTACTAACCTTGAAGCTTAATCTCGACATTCTAGGGTCAAGTTTGGCGTGACTCTCCCTGATAGATCCGGCGGCTGCGTTATTGCCTTCCCGGGCATCCGTGCAGGCATACCGGATTTCCCCCTACGATCCGTGTGCGACCAACCCGACATTGGCTATGAAGTGATTATGCACGATCAAGGCTTTGGGGGGATCGACTTTTCGGTTGACTGGAATTATGCGTCTGGGAAATACCTCGTGGGCAACCATTCGATTCCTGGAAGCCAGTGGCAGGCGTTTGGCGACGGTGACGACCTTCTGGAGCGCTATACGGGTCCAAAAGACTTTTCTATTAGCGACTTGCAGGTAGCTTCGAGTATTTGAATACATGGAGAGGTTGATCTTGGATAATTGGATGTTATTTGTGACTTGGTGAAGCAAGGATAGGATCGCACAAACCAGCTACCGATGGGCGTCTGTGACAATTCCCTTGCATTCGAGGCAGGCCCAGTTTTGTCGATAGGCCTCCTACATAGAATAGAAGCAAGACATTAATGCAACCAATCCCGTGCCATCGTTTTGGAGAATGCCCATTCAGCATCCCTGTTCTGCCATTCCGCATCTCGCGCTGCAAGTTAAATGCTACTAAGTGATGATACTAAACAATACCTGACGAGTATAGGTAGTTGTAGTAGTAAATACTAGAGGAAGATAGCTACCTATCCATAAGGTAGTAGTCAGTACTCAGTAATAGGGGGATATACTCCGTAGCTACTACTGCGGCTTTCCTCACATCCAATTTCGATGCTCCAGCTTCATGCATTCGCTTGGGGTGCTGAATAGCAATTCCATTGTTTTAGCACTGCACATCAGGCTGCGAGGCTGGAGGCACATTGCATCCATACCGCTCGATCCAATGTTGTCAACCGGCAGACAGCTGTCAACCGCCTATAGGCCGCCTGTAGGCCTCCCACAGGTGACTCGACCACGCCCAATTCACTCCCACATATTTATTGACACCTTTCCAAAACATTGTTGACAAACATTTTTCCTTCACTTCTAGTCAAATCATCATCAGTCTTCCACATTTGACCAACACTTCATCCTCAGACTGTCTCTCGACAAAGTCTACACATCCTGAATATCACATCACCAGCATCTATTTGAAGCACATCCGTCTTGATATCCCCAAAGACCTTCGCAGTGGACACGCGAGCCTTTACCATGGCGCCCCAAACGTCAGAGCAGATGCTTCGTTTGTGGTATGCCAAACTATGGGCTCCCACAGTCGATCTGATCGGCGACATTGCCGGCAAAGAGCCATTCATTATTCATGGCGAGTCCATGATCCGGCACTGTCTTGAAGAATCGCCTGCCGACTTCCAAGGTATGATGAAGAGATACCCCTAGTGTCTATCGTAGCAGCCACCTAACAGCCAGCAGATGGGTTTCAGTTGTTGCACGCCGTATATTTCGTTGAAAGGTTCCTTAGCAATCTTCAAAAGAGAGGTTGCGACTTTGACATTGTCTTCTTTCACGATTTAAGGGACATCTGCGTTCCTCATCTGTCTGGCTTCGAGTACAAATATCAATACGCAAGAACAGTCATCATCAAGCATCTCCAGAGATATACTATCGACTGTGCAAAGAAGACTGGCGCCCGATCATCTGTTTTAGAGTTCAATTCCTTTTCCAGTAAAGAATTCCACGATTACCTCAAGGGTCTACCGATCCATTTTGTTTTATGTCACGACGGGGTTGAATCGGAAGATGTCAAAGATACCGCCATATTGCGGTATTTTATCCGTCGTCTGATTTCTCTTGGCAAAAATGTAGCCATTATCAACTCTCTTAAGTGGAAGAGTTCAAAGGTAACACAACCATGCAGCTTTGTTTGTGTGAAGATCTGAAGCTGACACTGCATCCTCTCTAGGCATATGCACCGTTGCTAAGCAAGTCGCCCGTTCGACTGCCACGGCTGCCCATTTCACCGGAGTTTGACTCGCCATTTACTTCACTATATGGTCAAACTTATGAATGTCTGCAATCTATGCTGATTGAGCCTCGGGATCTCACTATTCGAGAGCGCCTGGGTATCACCGCCTGCTTATCCCTAGTCGGAGCACCAAAGGGCAATTTGACGGATCATGATGATCTGCAGGAAAGAGTACAAGCGTTTCTCCTTCATCTCGCGGTCCTCAGGCACTGTACCCTACTTGAACGTCAGCATTGGATTGGACCGCAGCGTTGCCGTCCACACCCTGAAGACCAAGAATTCTTGCGCCACATCATTGAACTGTCATTGATCTTGTTGGAAAAAGATGAGTGGATAACGAGCATGGATGTTTCTGAAAGCGACTGGGATCTGTATGATGCCATTGATGGGTCTTTGTTCCATTTCATGCTCGAGTCTCTCCGCTCTAGCCAGTGGCTTCCCAGCCAAATCATCCAGTCGTGGCAGCACCTTTGGTCAGCTTTTCGCGCAGGAACTGATGCGGGTTTTGCAGAGCATCTCCCGCGACTTGCTATCACTTCGGAGGACAACCTTCGAGGAGAGTCGAATAGCTTGCAAGTCTCGGCTTTGCCTTTTAGCCATCCCGTGCTTGACACTTTTCTCAAGGATATCAAGCTGAACGAGAGTCGGGAAGTACAAGACGCATCCTCCCACTCCGTCTTTGAGGATCTTCACCACTGGCATAACACCAAGCTACTAATACCGCAGAGAAAGATCCAAAAGCTCGGGTTTTTTGCGAGACAAAGAATGCAAAAGCGTCTTGCTAGCGTTATAGCATATTCGGCGAGTCTCACAAACGCAAAAGGCAAACTACTTGACCCTGAGATTGTCGTCGTGAAGAAGACTGCCGTTGTGCACAACTTCAAGAATAAAGGGTCGCAGAAAGAGAACAGAAGTGTTCAATCTCAATCTAAATCCAAGACACCAGGCCGCCAAGGGAACAAGCCGAGTAACAAAGAGAAGGCACACCGAGCGGCCCAAGAGGTTCAAGAGCAAAAAGCATTAACCAAGCGAGGCAACGCAGTCACCCTATGGGCCACTACATGCCAAAATATTGAGAAAGACCATTCTATTGTATCTCGATACCTCAAAACCATCAAATTCCTGAACGAACGATCCAAGGATGACAATATTGCGCTGGGATCCGAGATCCACCTTTACTTGTGCCATCTTCTTGGGCAGTTATGGGCAAAAGCACAGACAGCTGCCAAAGTAAACCCCAGTGCCGGTAAGAAAGAGTGCTATTATTTGCTAGATTGGATGGTGGCATGCCAACACTCAACGTTCGCAGGGTTCTATCTCATTGCACTTATGTGGAAATGGCTTCAGGAGCTTCCAACCATTGGGGTGTCCAAAGCGGTAGACAAGGCAGTTCAGAAACTGATGTCTTGCCTCGGGATTCCAAACCTTGTGGTTACTGTTGGTGATCAGACCCAAAAGATGTCGTTCAAATTTGATTATGGTTCTTTCAAGAACATGAAAAAATCTATGCTAAACTCTCGGCAAATGCAGCTCGAATTTGCAGCGCCTTACATGGATCGACGATTCGATTCTCGACAGGATAATCGGGTGCCATTCAACCCAGATGCTTGGCAGGTTAAAGTTCTCGACTCAATCGATGCAAATAACAGTCTCCTTGTCATTGCCCCAACTTCTGCGGGTAAAACATTCATCTCGTTTTACGCAATGAAGAAAGTACTCGAAGAAAGCGATGACGGAGTCTTGGTATACGTTGCCCCAACCAAGGCTCTGGTAAACCAGATCGCCGCCGAAATTGGTGCTCGCTTCACCAAAACATACAAGCAAGAGGGTAAGTCTGTTTGGGCAATACACACTCGGGACTACCGAGTCCAAAACCCAACTGGATGCCAAATACTCGTCACCGTACCTCATATGCTGCAGATCCTCTTGCTTGCGCCGACAAACGCCAAAGGCCCCAAAGCATGGTCACAACGGATCAAGAGGATCATATTCGACGAAGTCCATTGTATTGGGCAGGATGAGGATGGTGTGGTTTGGGAACAGCTGCTTCTATCTGCTCCATGTCCCGTCATCGCTCTCTCAGCAACCATTGGGAACCCCGAACCCTTTGAGGAGTGGCTCTCACAGGTTCAGAAAAGCAAAGGGTTGAAACTGGATACGGTAGTGCACACGGCTCGCTATTCGGATCTTCGAAAATTTATTTACATGCCTCAAGAATACGAACCATTCCAAGGGCTTCGACGCAGCAAGGCACTTCCCGTTCCTGGATTAGACGAAGGTGACAAGCCTTGTCCTGATTTCCAGTTTGTACACCCCGTAGTAGCTCTAACTGATAGGTACGTATGTCACCTTATGACATTAGTTCACAACTAACACTGCACAGGGCTCGCACAGCGCTTGAGGATCTCTCTTTGGAGGCGAGAGATTGTCTACGTCTGTGGGAAAGCATGAAGAAGATTCTCTCAGAGGAAGAACTTGTCAGATTTGGCGTCCCAGACCCCTCTACCATTCTCCCAGAGACAATATCAAAGTCGGATGTTCTTCAGTGGGAGGCAGAGCTCAAACAATCACTCCGACGCATCATAGAGAGCCAAGGCTCTGCGTTCCGGAAAATCAGGAAGCTTTTGGAGCTACCTTCGACCCAAGAGACCCCATCTTCCGAATTTAGTCGTGACTTGGAAAGTATATTTCACCTTGTCGTCGGTCTGCATAAGCAAGATGCTCTGCCTGCTCTCGTGTTTCACTATGACACTCAGGGTTGTGAGAAGGTTGCGAAGCTTATATGCGCGATGCTTCTCGAGTCTGAAAAAGAGTGGAAAGAAAACTCGGCTGAATGGGCTCAGAAAGTGAAAGACTATGAGGCTTGGAAGAGGTCTGAGGACAGCCAACAGAGTCGAAGGGTCGTTCAACGGAACAGAGGCGACGGCGGAGACGATTCCAGGATGTCAAAGCAAGAGCAGTTACGTGAGGAGGCAAATGTCGAGACAAGTCCTTGGGCGAGTTTCAACCCAAATGCTCCGCTGGAACGATTCAGTTTTGCAGATACGACGAAAATGCAAGCTTTGGAGGCGAATGGAATGATTCGACCTCTACGAGGAGCGGTTGATGTTTTGCTGCTAGAAGCTCTTCAACGCGGCGTTGGAGTGCATCACTCTGGTCTGAACCGAGAATATCGTCAAGTGTGAGTAACTCTTCTTGGGAAATATGGCTAAAACTAACGACTCCGTGAATAGGGTTGAAGTCATGTTCCGTAAAGGGTACTTGAGGGTGGTTGTTGCCACTGGTACACTGGCCCTCGGTATCAATATGCCCTGCAAAACGGTCATCTTCCACGAAGATTCTGTGTTTCTTACTGCCCAGAACTTCAGGCAAGCTTCAGGACGTGCCGGACGACGAGGCTTTGATCTTCTTGGCAACATTGTGTTCAACCAGATCCCACGAGAGCGCGTGTATGAAATCATGTCGGCGCGGCTGCCAGGCCTCAATGGACAGTTTCCGATATCCACAACCCTTGTGCTCAGGTTGTTCTCGCTTCTTCATGGATCTGATAACTGCCAATTCGCAGTCAACATGGTGCAGTCATTGCTCTCGCAAACGCGGCTCTATCTGGGTGGACCAGAATCGGAGATGTCCATTAAGCATCACGTTCGGTTTTCCATTGAATATCTCAGACGGCAGAACTTGCTTTCTGCTGCTGGTGTCCCTATCAATTTTGCCAGCATCATAGGCCACTTATACTTTATGGAGAATGCAGTGTTTGCTTTTCACTCCCTCTTGAAAGGCGGGTATTTCCATCAACTCTGCTCAGACATCTATAAAAACCCAGAGCGGGTGTTACTGGAAATGATGCTGGTACTGTCCCATTTGTTTGTCCGAATACCGGTCAAAGAGAATGAGAAATTGGTTGAAATAGCCAAAACCTCGTCGTCTGTCATCTTCCTTCCGCCTCTTCCGCAGGAAGCAGAAAGCCTACTCATCCGACATAACGAGGAGACTCTTTCCATCTTCAAAAGATATGTCCAGTCTTATGTTAGCCATAACTTGACGAATAAGAGGGATCGGTCGTTGCCGTTTACCGAAACAGTCGTTGGCCAGGAAAATCCCATCCATTGGGCGGCTACCGATTCGAGCGCTGCTGGCATGGTGCGTTCCCCTTTTGTTGCCTTGTCTGGAAAAACGGACGACTTCAAGACAATTCACGAACTGTGCCAGACGGCGCGTGGAGATGTCTTTTTGGAAGAATCGGCCATTCCGTCGATACCGATCTGGCCACACGATACCAACGTGAGATTCAACGCATATTTGTACGATTATTACAAGCACGGCAGCATGCATGTCCTTGCGAGAGACAACGGAATCCGACGCGGAGACGTGTGGTTTCATCTTAAAGAATTCTCTCGCACTTTGTCTACAATCATTAGCAGTCTAACTATCCTTATGAGCGCCAAAGATGTAGACGCGGAAGAGGAATTTGAAAGCTTCGAGAACGAGGCTGAAACAACAGCCAGTGGATCTGAAGATGACAGTGATGAAGAAACAGACTCATCTGCAACTAGCCTAGATGGCTGGGATGATGGCGAAGATGCCCCTATCGGGGGACAAAAAAAGGGCAAAGGTTTATGCCGAGTGCTTTTTGCATTTATGCGGTTGAGAGATGAGTTTGATGGCAAGTTCCATCGCGAATGGGCGTAAGGAGGCTTATTTGGCTTGATTTGGCTTGATTTGTGGCAGGATTTTTGGACGGATATATGGTATTGAGGGATGTGTGGCCTGTTAGGTACTATGTTAGAGTCTTTGTAGTCTGTGAATCGTGATTTGAGCTGAGTGAAGATTGAGTCGTTGAAAACTAAAATGGATTGCCCCCTATCTATAATCTGACAGATACATGTACTACGAGTTGATGAGGCTTAGCACAGGCTGCTAATATCATCCTAATTCCCACGAATTCGAGAATGCTCTACTTCTATAACGCTTAAACTCTCATCAATAACAAGACCTTTGCTAGATATCTTACGGATGATCTTCAAATCTTGAGATACTGATATTGAATACCGATATCTTGTACCGGTGATGATGTGTAGTTGTATTCTATATATAGAAACGGGATCAACTGGCCTCCATGATCTAAAATTAGCAACTCAATATATTTAAAGTTGATGTATGTAAAACATGACATTCACGTGAGAAATGTGCCCAAGCATCGAGTCATCTTCACATGTTGGAGACACCAACAGAGAAACGATGCTGACCCTCGGCATCGCCTATACTCGTACAAACTATGAGAAACACTTGCAGTAGCCACTGCATCTCCTAGACAGTTCAAAGGAACAATCACTGAATTGAAATAGCAATCATCTCCGAGTCACCTCTCTGGACTAACCAAGCCAGCCAGCCACAACGGCTCCTTCGCCCTATCCAAGTAATCTACGCCGCCAGTCCATGCATGTCACACAAGCAGATTCCCGTCTGAAACCAGCAACGCTTATCACGATATGTCACAGGGGGGTTTTTGGCATCCCTTGCTTGTGCATCTGGGCTTGTATGAAGGGCCGGCTTAGGCTAATGTAATCCATGCGTACCAGGGACTTTATCCGGCTTGCGAGAGAGGGAGAGAGGGAGGGAGAGAGAGACGCGCGGCTAAATCTGCCGATTCTCATTCTTTTACACGTACTTGGGATAATCATGGAGAGATGTAACTCGGTACGGCCGATGTGTATCATTGACGCCTCCTGGCATGTCACCGAGAGTCATCATTCACAACAACGCAACGGCATCACATCCATTTTCCGACGTATTTTTCAAATTCTCACTCGCAAAAGTGCGGACAAGAAGCCCCCCCCTGCCGCCAGGAATGACTTGGAAACCCCTTGCATTACGGCTCTTAGCGAGACACGGCATTTGCAAGACAGTACGGCAAAGTGAAACCGAGTAGCTCCGGGAGTCTGAACAAGCGCGGGACTGGATAATCCCACGATGGCTTCAAAACGTCCAATCACATGCTCCGGGGAGTTGATCGTAAAATAAAATTAAAAAAAAGCGATTACTTAATCGCAATTCGGCTCCCTCGACTCCGCGACATCCAAACGTCCAGCGTACAGGTAAAATTGCTCTCTCCACCGACCCCATAAGGCCCGTCCCGTCCGATATCCACAAGCCCCGAGAAAAACTCCGGTTGTTCGACAACTTCAACAACGCCTCTTAGGAGCTACGGGTTGTACGCACGAAGCAGCTGTCACATGAACTCTCCCTCGGCTTCAAGAGATGACTTGTCACTGCATCTGATCGCATATGATGTTACAATGAAACAACCGCTGGTGGGCGGCCGGTGGGTTGTCCGTGCTTGTCTCGTCTCTCTCTGGCAACGAGCGCGAGTCCCCGGGTACGCGTACCACTAACCGAACCAACATGAATGAAAACAAGGGAAAATGTAAATATAGAAGCCAAGTTTTACGTGGCATTGCCTTGTGCAATGCGGCGTGATGCATGACTCCTGGTCCTCATACTCCTCGCCAGCCAGTAATCGCCAGTGGCGATGGCATCAAAGAAGCCGTTCGAGACCAGCCCATCCCGGTCCACGGCAAGCAAAGAGTACATAGCCGGCACAGGCCATCCAAGGGCCCAGGAAATGTCCATAAATCCAGATGCCCGGAAACTAAGCCCCAATGAAGCTGATCCTCGCATCCCTTGCCCGGCTGCCGCGCATCTCTCCCGGGATGTGATTGTCCAGCCCTCTTGTCTTGGATTCTCGTACATTAGGCCTCATCGAGACACACGCCGGCCAAGGGCTGAAAAATAAACGCAAGGCAATCCCCCTGCTGACGTCTTGAGGCATAAAAAAAAATCTCTCCTTCCCCCCTACCTAAACGCTGACGACCATGTCACTGGTAACATTCACCCACAGACGGGCCGTTTTTGTTTCCGGAGGGGGATCGTCTCAAGCTAGGAAGCGAGGAGACAATGAAGATGCCAAAGACATGCATGTGCCACTTACTACGAGTACTACCTAGTATTAACGCCGTAGTATTGTATTTACAAGGGTTCTCAAGACAACGAAGGACTTTGCGGGGTTTAATCTATCGCCTCGTCAAACTCGCTTACACCAAACCAGAAACTCCCCCTTGCCGCGTATGTACCGCGTGTATGTAAGCTGGCAAAGACATGTTAACGCCGACGAGACATTAAACCAACAGCCTCAGCTAAACACGGCGATGCCGCCATCCCATTGGTGCCAGGGCCCGGCATTCCCAGAGGTCTGGGCTCAACCCGCGAAACGCGCTTGCGGCTGTGTCGTCTACACTCCGGTATAGCTGAGCGGCGGGTTCCTTGCCTAGTTCAAATCTCGTCTGTCATACTCGTACGACTTTGGAGAGGCGCCCTGATGAATAATTGGCATCCCATAGCTGCGCTAGAAACTGCGATTCTCCCATCTCGTCTAACTCTATTCGTGGTTGGGGTTTGTTACGTGTAAGAAGAGAGAACGGACAACAACAACCCCAAAGAAACGGAGGACTGAGAGAAATCACCCATGTTGATCCTTGAGATGACGACAAAGCGTATTCCGACAGTAGTAGTGCTAAAAATCCCTTAGTAGGCCTCGTGATGTCTGCCGTTACGAGTAAAAGATGCGCGGCCAAAAGGGCGCTTTTTCTCAGTGATACCTCCTTGAATAGGTACGCCGCTGAAATCTGGAACTCGCCCTCCACGGAACTCGCTGTCACATTTCTCTTCGTCTTCGCCTTTATCTTGTTCGGCATTAGCGAAGGGCAGCATCAGATAAAGCAGGACCCCCGGCGCGCTAAACGGACACACAACATTGAACCTTGTGGTTTCCGATGACCCTGTTGAACGGCATTAGTCGGGTTTGTTCAGCCTTCGCTGCCCTATTGCCGAGCTGAATGACACTGACACTCAAGGGAAATACCAGTACTAGTGAAGTCGTAGCGAAGCCCATCATAACCTTGACTCTTTAGCCAATCCCGAGTTCGTCCTTCATCTTTGTTTCCTTTAGCGAGCCGATTTTCCCGTGGCCAACTACCTGATCCATGGGAGGACCGTCTGCAAAGCCAACCTTGCCAGCAACGACGATTGTAACGGAAGCAAGCATACAGCTCCTAAGCTTGCAGAGTGTACGAAGCCAAATCCCGGTCAGACGCGGCACAAGACCTTCAGCAAACACCAATGAGTCGAATGAAGAATGAAGCGTTGCATCAATGCCCAGCAACCTCGCTTCACTTACACGCACACTCCCCCCTTCAAGCCTCCTCCAATACAACAAGCACCTGAAGATTTCCAAATCCAGCCCCAGAAGCCCGTCTCTACATTAGTGCAGATTTCAATCCCAGGAATCCAATCCAATCCCACCTTGCTGTGTATCCTTGGGTAGTAATCTCCGTCCCATCTGTCAAAGCGGCAAGCCCCGAAACACCAAAACTTTGCGTGTCCACGACTCCCGTCACCTCAATCAAGATAGTTCCCTGAACTTCTTTGTAATGCAACTGCAAGACAAATTAATCCCCTTTCTTCTCTCTCTCTCTCTCTCTCTCTCTCTCTCTCTCGCTCGCTGCTCCCCCTCGCCCTTCCCTGTTTCGAGGGTTACCTTGCATTTTCGCGGGTGCAACGTACATGCAGCCTGCAGTCCTCACATGAACATTCTGCAACCCACCACACAAGACGGTGGCTGAAACCAGAGCCCCCCCCAGCAACTCTTCAAAAGCCCAGGCCCTTGAAAACCAAAGAAAGGAATCACGGGGGAGACGGAGTGAAATCGCAGATGATGCAGGCTGTGATTCTTTCCCAAGCCACGCACGTCAAGGCAGGACCGGGAATCCCTTCCTTTTCTCCACGAACACAGGCAACCCCATCTTGTTAATGTTTCGTTGCAATCTCAACAAGGCAACGCATCTTACTCGTTGCCTTCAAGAGGCAGAGCCAATGACACTTCGACACACACACCCCATACTGCATGCCTGCGTCTTGGCTACAGTATTCAAACTCCCAATGCTACCTTGCCTGCGATTCCCGTTCGGCACATGAGGCTCGTACTCGGCACATGGGGCTAACAAAGCCATTCACCCATTCACCCATTCACCCTTTCTCTCTCTTTTCCCTGTAACCCCCTTGCTTACACAGCATCAACACCCAGATCCTGCCAAGCAACCACGGGAATACCTAGAAAGAGAGAGAAATAAGGCAAAGGGCCAACGGCATAAACCCGCATGCATGTAACTGGACGCGTCCATCCGTCCATCCATCCTCCAAAATGGCGGACTCAAACCCTCCCCCCCCCTGCTCTCTCCTCCAAATTTTGTCTACCCCAAGGATCCTCCCCCCTTGCCCATGTCCAGTCGGTCGGGTCAGCTCTAAGCTCCGTCGTTATCCCCCGCCCTGTCCTGCTACGGTAACTTGCAATGCGGACCTCGAATATTCTTATCATCGATCCCAGTCACCTGCTGCTCCCGCCCAGCAAACACACACTAACACGCATATACGCAAAACAAAACGAGGCCTTTTTCGCCTCTTATCAGGACCAAAAATCAAGCCGACGCAAACAAACGCCTCCCCCCCCCCCCTGCTCAACTTCGAGACACTCAGCTTTGCATCTTCGCCTCCATTGCCAAACCAAAGTTTTACTCCGTAACTTGGTTGTACCTACTCGTAGGCGGCCAAAGACCTCGCCCCCCCTGGCCGCTGTGACTCCCACCGCAATACCCGCTGTATTGTGGAAACATCATGTCTGCTTACTGCCAGCTTGCCCTTGCAGCCAACGGTCAATGCGAGTTAGTAGGTACCTACTTCCAGGCTGATGGCCCGAATGGAAAAACCCCCAGAACAAACAAATGTACATAAAAGATGTGAAAAAGTAATAAACAAAAGGGGGTCAAGACCAGAATGTGTGTGCATTAACATGTATCACGAGTATGTATAAGACAAAAAAGATGGGATTACACCCCAGAAGAGATGAAGGCTGATCGTTGGCACCCCGGCAGACCCGCCTCCACGGTTACCCCGGCCCCAGCGATGGTATATCAGTTTATTATTACCATCAAATTCCCCCCCAGCACATGAATATTGATCGCCCTGGAAAGCCTCGGATCATTCGTGCCGAAAGTTCAACGTCTGGTTGATATTAACTAATACATACCTATGTAAGCCAAAAAAAAAAAAAAAAGACCGACGGCAAATAACACAGCAACGATATACTTGTGCAAGAAGCTTAGATCCTACTATGGAAGTGATATTATGTATATACTTTATATATATGTTTAGGTATAAATAGCGTATCGTATGCGTAACAACAGGTTCCTTTGATAACAAGGTGCCAGCCAAATCATGAATGAAATCCTTACTCATGGCTCCCCCCCCCCCCCCCCCCCCCTCTTTACCTTTTCCCTCTCGACAGAGAGCAAAAAAGAAACACAAAAACAAAGAGTAAAAATCCATGATTCCCTTTATCCCTAGTTCCCCAAAACAAGTACCCAATGTTACGCGCATGCAAATGATCGCTTCGTCCCCTTGTCCATTTCACCTGCTTTCCCCCTCCCCTTCTCCCCCTTGTCACCATTGGCCATTCCTTAACAGTCATGGATGCGCGTGGTAGCCTGCATACGTAGTGGTATCTCCTCCAAATCCATCCCGGGCTTGTAACAGTTGCGTCAAAGAGAAAGAGAAATGAAACAAAAAGAAAAGCGTGAAAACGGTAAAAGAAAAAAATCAACATTAGCTTTCCGACAGCGCCAGTCCTGGAACACAATATTCGATACATTGTATAAAAGTAGCAGCGATACATTTTGAAGTGATAGCTTCTAGATTGTTTCAGAATTTTTTGTTTTTTGGTTTAGTAGAAAAAAAAAGAAAAGACGAAGAGAAAGATGGTCCGAAGGCCACCAATGAGGTCTATGCCTTGCGTGTGTAAATGATAATCCAAAATGAGAAATACGAGTCAGAATTATCGCAAGTATGATGCAATCGTTGCGCCCTGCGCTGCGCCGTCAACCGTAAATATCGGCGAATCGCTGAGCTAACCGCCCATTCAAACGTCTTTGTATTGTCCACCAAATGCTTCCCCGTTCAAGTTCATGTAAATAGTTGTAAGAAAGAGACAAAACAAGACAACCTCCAAATTTCGCCAGTGGTCAAAGAAGCATAGTCACAAAAGCAACATAGCTAAGCCTCCAAACCTGTGCAAAAGATCAAGTAGAGAAACAAAATATAAAAAGGGACTCCGTCAGCCCATATAAAAACGGAGAATAAGACAAGGGTCGATAACGTCTCTTACTGCCCCGAAGGCGTTCCGATCTGCGGTGACACCATCGGTGGTGGTGCAATATTAGGATCGCTGTTGGCATAGGGCGGTGCTGCAATCGGGAGTCTGGGAGTATGATGGCTTGGATTGCTCGAGGAGAAACTCGAGGCCGTCCTTCCGTCCATGGGAAATAGGTCTCGTTGAAGTCCTTCCAAGATGTGCATGTCAATCCTCAGAGAGCTCGTATGCGTTGCCGACTGTCGGAGAAACGCAATCGTCTTGGTAAATAAGTGGCGTAAAACTCCTTCGTCTACAAACTTGTGCAAGACAGGGTCTTTGAAAGCTGCTGAGAGAACGAGGAGATTGCCCCATTGACTATGCCACTCATGTTAGTATGCAGTCTGACCCCAACTTCACGTCTGTCATAAAATTGTATAAACTTACGCATGTGCCGTGCCAAACACGTTAGTGATGATGGGTCGCTTATCCCCGAGCCCTTGAAACGCCCTGGTGCTTTCAATCAAAGCCACAATGCCCTTTCGGGCCAGCTCGATGATGGAGGGATCCAGTTGGCTCGGTGTCTTGGTATCCGGGCGGATATACGGCGCAATGATACCATCGCGGTATTCTGACATGACGGGGATGTGGGGGCTCGAGGGGTGACGTTTCACCTCAAAGGACCACTGGAGGATTTGCCGAACGAATGGCCGGTATGTAATCATCTGCGCTCCCCAATACTTGCCTCTCAGACGCGCCGACAGAATGTCATTCGCAGGGGGGTCCGTCTCATTGAAGTGGAAGCTAGCCGGGACCCATCGCATGCCGGAGACACCACCCGCCACCAGCCCGACGTTCTTGAGCCCCTCGGGTTTGCTGGAATCATCCGGGGAGTAGAACATGCGGTGGATGCTGTTCAAGTGCGTCCGGAGATAGAGCTGCGCTGGATAGCTGTCTACAACTCTTTGGTCGAATCCTTGCAAAAGACTCATGTTGGGCTGAGGCATGTCATTCTCGTACTGCAAAAGGCCAGAAGGCGGCAGTGGAAGCTCGGCAATCAAGTCACTGTGGCGGATTAGTATCGAAACAACTGCACAGCGTATATCCCTTTCTTACCTTTCTAGCTGTAGACATGTCCAAAAGGCGAGCGCAAGCTGGTTGTACTTTGTTTCTTGGATGAATTCCATTTTGGTCTTTATCCTTCGTAGCTTGTCCAGACTCCTAAAAAGTATGTTAGCAACCGGTAACAAAAAAAATCTAGTTGCTGTGATGTAAGCAAAGGTGGAAAAAACTTACGGTCTCATAATGACTTGCAACTTATGGCTCGCTTTGTGGATAAAGGCGAAGCTCTCCAGCGGGCGCGCAAGCTGGCCGTGATACAATCCAGCAAAAATGTTGGCGTAGACATTCTTCATATTATGGTACGCGCCCGTGTGGTTTCCCAGAATGTCCGTTGCCAGCGCAAAGTACTCCAGGCCGGGAATCACCTCGTAGTTCTTTTTCAGGCTGTACCCTGCGCGGACAGTCGCACTGGTGCCGTGGATAGATGATCTCCTGCTCTGGTAACCGCGTTCCTGGTCTCGGGGAGAGGGGAAGCCAGAGGATTGTGAGTGTGATGAGAATCCCGGAGGCGATCCCTGCGTTGGCGATGGGGGCACCCCGTTGCGGCTAACTGGGCTTCCATGGGGGATCGGGTCGACCGGGAATATCACGTCAGGCACATCCTCCTGATGCAAGCAGACTTTGCCGAGGGCAATGATGATGAGGACCAGCGCGCTGTGGATCGAACGGCTCGGCTTGCCAACCCGAACAGGCCCTGGCGTTGAAGGCCCATCCGCCTCGGGGGTTCGCTTTCTCTTGGAGCCTGTGACCTCGAGTGGCTGAGAGACGGCGAAAGCCGACTTCAGCGGCTGGGGCTTCGGCTTTGGATTGACCGTGGGAAGATCGTTCAAGAACTGGTGGACCCACTCATCGAGGACTTTCGGCTGAATGATGGGGTGCATGTTCAAGATGTTGTTTTTGAAGCTTTCCACATACTGCGCGATCTTGTGCTCGCTGAAGTCCGGGTTTCCGTCGGAGCCAAGAACGCCGCCTCGATACTCAATCTGATCGCCGGGACTCAGACCGCCCAGCTGGCCCCAATCCGCAGCGGGAGAAGAGGAGACGATGTCCGACATGTTGTCATCGCCCATGTCAACGTTGCCGTGATCAGCCGTTGCCTCTCTGGAAACGCGGAAATGCGCGTCTTCACCTCGCCCATACACCTTCAAGATTCCGCGATTCTGCTCTTGGCTGATGGGGTACTCGCTGACAAACTTGATGCCTTCGCGCTCCAGGTGCTTCCGCGTAAGCTCTCTAATCGGGTCCCAGTCTAGAAGAAGGCCGGCCAAAGTAGTATGGTTGATGGGGATTGCAGGTTCTCCCGGGGGGACGGGAGGGCCAGGTTCCGCCTCTATCTCGTCTTCGGCCATGTATGTAGTAGCCGCAGGCTCAGTGGGCACTGACTCTGCGGGCACCGATTCAGTAGACAGTACCGGGTGGTCGCGAGAAATTTCATCCACGGGAGATCGATCCACCATGTACTCGTCCGGCGGACGTGGTGAGCCCGGAGCGGGCATTGACATGTGCTTGAGCTCTGGATCATGACTGGGATCTCGTTTAAGCTGAAGAAAGTTTGGCGTTTTTGAGAAGACTGCTTCCATCTTGGTCAACCTATCATCCATGTGCCCGAAGCGCTCCGCGAGCGTGGCAAGCGTAGACTGCATGCTCGAGATACCATCCAGAATATCGGCCTGCGCTTTATCGGTTCTATACGATAAAGTTATGTCAGCCATCGATCACATCTCGCTTTCAAAGGCCGAGACTAGCGGGTAAAATGAAGATGGTGAAAAAAATCCCGGTGCTGCTTACGCTTTTGGCACGGGGTCGCGATATCGGCATTCCGTGCCCTTGTCTCTGCAGGTTTTACACGGTTTCGTCTCGTCGCACTTGGCTTTGAGTTGTCGACACTGGTCGCATGCCTGGGAACTGTCAGTTTTCCGGGTCCCACACAACCACATACACACACATGAAGTAACATGACAGGGGGAGGGGGGCCAAATCAGACCTGTGAAGCTCTAGTATTCTTCTTTTTCTGGGTTGAGTAAACGTTGTAGAAAGGTTCCGCGGGTTGGTAGCTGGGGGTCTGTTCGTAGGAAGACTGGTGCGCCATCGGTGTAGGAGGAGGGGGAAAGCTGGGAGCGCGATATGCTGAGGGAGTCGGAGGCAATGATGGCCCATTCTCGTAATTCATGTGTCGTGGCGGAGGAGGGTTATCTTGGAAGGGAGGCGGCGGAGGGTGCTGCTGCTGAGGATGCTGCTGAGGGTGCTGCTGAGGGTGCTGCTGAGGGTGCGGCGTCTGAGGATGTTGCTGCTGAGGAAGTTGCTGCTGAGAGTGCGGTGGTGCCATCTGTGGTGGCGGCGGAAGCGACTCTGGCGCATGGCCTGTCGAGTTGGGCCGCCGTAGATCCTCGCCGGGCTCTCGCTTTATGATGGTATCTCGGTTGGGATATGGGTGATAGGGAGCATGCGCGGGCGACATGGGATGCTGAGGCCCTGGATGTTGCGGTCCCGGATGCTGAGGGCCCGGGTGATGCTGCGGCGGCGGCGGCGGTTGGCGGTACGGGTCCTGCATGGGAGCGAGAATCTCTTGGTCGGAGTGTCGACGGTCAATCTCAGGATGCTGCTGAGCGTGCCCATGAACCGACGCCGGTGCTGGCGGCGCGGGAGGAGGCAGCTCGGGGGCACGAGGCGGGTATGGCTGGTAGTGGTGATGGTGGTGAGACGGGCCTTGGGGGGGAGGAGGCGGCGGCGGCGGCGGCGGCGGTAGCTGGGGATTGGAAGCAGCATGAGGAGCGTGAGAAGGATGAGGAAGAGAGTGATGAGGTGACGGAGGAAGAGAGTGATGATGAGGATGCGGCAACGTAGTGGGCGGCGGCCCGGCACCCGCCCACGACGACGTGAGGCGCGGTCGTTTGCTGTCGGGTCCTGGATCCATGCTGGCTTGACGTAGAGACAGTACAAGCTAGGACACACGGACACATAATCAGGAACGAGGCGAAGAGTTAAAGCAAGGACCACAGAGGGGTGTTGGCCATGGGCTGGAGGGCGAAACACCAGACACCGGGGGGAGTGAGGCCCGGAGGGCTCGACGAGCGGTGCTTGGTTGATTGGACCTTTGGCAGCGGGAGACCGGGAACCAGGGAGGACATGGGGTGGGTGAGCCTCACACGATTAGGGCGACTATGATGACATCTGAGTTGCCGCCGTCGAGCAGAGACTTGAAGGTATACTGTAGGTGTAGGTGTAGGTGTATGTGTACGAGTATGTGGTAGGTGTAGGTATAAGGTATACGGGTAGGTACAGTATGGATGGTATCCAGGTACGGGACAGGACAGACGACGTTCGGTTGATAGTCGAGGTGAGAAGGCGGGCTATTGACGGCTTGGCCTAGCCCCAACCCAGTAACGCGAACGCGGCAAAGGGGGGCGATCTACCAGGACGAGCCTCTCGTTGGGCAGCAGGATGAAGGAGAAAGAGTGAGAGAGAAGGAGGAGAGAGAAGCAGAGCAGAGAGCAGAGCAGAGCAGAGCAGAGCTTCACCAAAGCTATGCCTCCGGTTGCCGGCAGCCTGTGGGGGCGGGATGGAAGAGAAGGAAGAGGGCCAAGGCGACAGGACAAAGTTCCCAAGTACCCAGAACCCTGCAGCCCAGCCAATCCTGCCCGATGAGGTCGAGCCTAGGCGAACGAACGACGATGACGGGCAAATGGGCGGAGGGGGGGGGAGTGTCAAACCAGAAGCCGGGCGAGGGGACGTGAGAGGGCGAGAGGGTGGTGGTAGCACGAGACTGTCGAGCAGAAGAAGATTGGATGCTTGCCGTAGTATGGTAAGGTTTGGTATGGACAGACAGCACAAGACAAGACAAAAAAAAAAAAAAAAACGGCCAGGTGAGACGAAGTGCTGGCTGCTGATTGATACCACTCGCGAGCCCGAGAATGGCCTCCCAGCACCCCAGCATCCTGGCAGGTACCCCGACTCAGCACCAGGCTATAGTAGGCTAATCAGCGAGGGTGGTCGGCTGGCGTTCAGGTACCTGGCGAGGTACCTCGACATTGCCGTTGTCCGTATTTTTGGCATTCTGGGGGCGCGCGCGCATGTGGCCCGCTGACGCCACCAGAGCTCCAGAAGCTCCCAGGTACACGCTAGCAATTAGCTGTCGTACTAGGTACATGCTGCGCCGGTGGGGCCGCCCAGGGTTTGCCTGCGCTTTCATTACAGGGTTCACACTTGGGACTGCGGCGAGAACACCACAGGCTGTGGGATGATGTCGGCGATACAGGCCAAGCAAGGGATCCCTGGCTGCTGTCTGCCGGGCTCTTGGACGCTGTGTCTTGTCTGTCTGTCTGTCTGTCTGTCTGTCTTTTCCTCCTCATGGCCTGGTCTGGTCCGGTCTGGCCTGGCCGTAGACAGGAAGCGGTAATACATACGGCGTGCCCAGTGTGAGCCGGGGGGCATCATGTTGGCGCCCAATGGAACACTTGCCCAGGAACTCGGAGGCGACCAGGGGCTGGGAGTGGCAGCGATCACAACAACCTGCGAGACGAGGGTGCTTCTTTTTTGGAGATGGCTGGCTGCGGGCAGATGGCCAGGGCAAGGCAGTACGACGAGTACAGGTACGGGCAGATGAGATGTGTATGCACGGGTGAAGGTGTGTGTATTAGTGGTATGGATGCTACGATAGGCATGGAAGTATTGATACAGTAGCGGCGGAAACAACAGCAACCTGCAACAGCAATAAATAACAACAACCAGCAACGACAACACAGACGGCAAGGAAAAAGGAAATATTATTGAGGAAAAAAAAAAGAGAGAGAGGCGGCACATGGTGGAGGATGAGGGTGGACTCGGCCAGGCGTGGACCACAACCGCCTGCGATTGGACATGACGGCATGTACTTGGGTACATTGTCGCTCCAAAACAGCTCCAACTGCCCGAACAGACAAAAGATGGTGATACAGCAGCTCCAAATTTGCTCCGCACGCACTATAGTAGTGGCCGGTACATGTATTTGCCAGCGCTCCATTCGACGAATACTTTGCATGTACGAGTCCTGCTCATGTCAATCCCGCCCCAGCGCCTCCCGCCGTCGTACAAGAGCCATGTATTCTGCTTGTACTGACAGAAGCGTAAACGACATTTGGGGACGAGAGCACCCGGAGCTTTGCGCATGTCCGGACTACTCCCCGACCACGAAGCGTCCTTTGACGCAAAAACTACCCGGGGCTTGGGATTGTACCGTATCAGACAAGCCACTACTCCAAATGCCACTTTGCGGCTGCTACTTCGCTTGCCTGTCTTTTGCTATGCTCATCATTCCCGTCATCTTTTTTTTTGTTTTTTTTTTTGGTCTCTCGTTGTCGTTCCTTTCTTGGCCCATCTCGCTAGCCGCCCCGTATGCAGCGGTAATATCTGACTAATGTCCACCGAAATGAGCCGAGGCCATCGTGCAAAGAGGTTAGCACGACCCCCAAATGTTGGAAATGTCCGGTCAGAGCAAATAATTCCGTCTGCCTGGTGTCAATGCCTTGATTCTGGTCTGGTGCTTCCATTTACACCGTGGAGACCGTTTCTGGTAGCACACCGACGGAAAGCAGCAGCAAGCAAGCAAGCAAAGCAAAGCAAAGCAAGCAAGCAAGCAATAGCGCACCAGCTAGTCTAGCACATACATCCAAGAGTGCACCGCGCCGTCAAGCCATGGCACGCACGAGTAAGATTCCGGGCGCCGGATGCAGTCCCTAGAGCGGCGGAGAGGGCGGAGAAGCCTTCGACGGCTGCTTTAGAACCCTCACCATCGTCACCACCGCCTGGTTTCATCCTCGCGATGGCTCCAGAAAAAGCCATTCAGCTCTTCCCAGCTGAGGGCCCGACGAGTGGACCGTGCCGCAACAAGTCCCAAGTCCAGCAAACTGGTGGTGGCGTGGGGCGGCCGGCGCCGTTTGTTAGCATCCAATCTGCCCTGTGCCCTGTGTGGTGGTCTGTATGTGTCCTCTCGTACAGTATGTGTGTGCATGGAGTTCGCGGGTTTTCGTGTCGTGTCGAGGAGGGAGCGCCAAGTACGCGGACGGTACTTCCGCGCGCGGTCCAACGTCTACCAGCTGGGCGCGGCGCGGCACCAGACTCCGGGTTCCTCCAGAGTACCCAAAGCGAAGAATGCTCCTGTAGCGCGGCCATGCAGCCACTATAATACGCTCGGCGCACTAGGCCGCTGGGAAAAGAAAGCAAGCTGCGCTCGGCTTTAGACACCCGCTGTTAAAGCGGGCTTTTCCCACAAGCTCGCTCCGTCGCTTCTTCCAAAACAATTAGGTATGTCCGTTACGGCTTTTGGGTCTCAAGACTCTACTTTTTCTTGTTTTTACGAGTGCTACTGCCGCCACTTGCAGCTTCAGCCGTTGCAGCGCCTTGACCCATCGGCTTTAGCCACTCCCGCCAGTCTGGTTTAGTGTGTGGGAAACGGCCTCTATGTCTCTAGCGCGGCAGATAGGCAAGGGGAATTCCACGTGAGACGGATACGCCGGGCATTTTAGGTTCATTGGGCATTAATTTCCCTTCTTTGGGGCTCTATCTTGTCTCTTGGTCGTCTTCAACCGTTGTCTAAGAGTGTGCGCAAAGATCTGCAGAACGACGCAAGTCGTTGACGCAGGGCGGGCAGAACCTCCGAGCCGCGGGATCAAATGTTGTTCGACCCAACGCTTGCACACGGACCACAGGCTGGCTTGGGATGAAAGTCAGTGAGGGGTTCTTTTTTTTTTTTTTCTTCTTCTTCCTTTTTTGCCTTCGAGTCCCTTTTGCTTGATTCAAGCCATGCAGGCCCTTCAGCTTCTGTCATTTGCTGGCGGTTGTCGCTAGCCTCACCACCGCAGCCAACCGCCGTGCCGCGTCTACCTCTTTGTACTAGGCCAGGGGCTCTTTTCTTTTTCTCTCTCTCTTTTTTCTTTTTCTCGGCGCCGTGTAATGTAGTGGAATCACGCTGTCATGTTCATGCATATTCGTGAAACGGCCCGCACAGCCTACAGTATCAGAGGCAGGGGAGCGGAAAATCCCCCGTCATACGGCTCTATTATTAGAGAAGAGCCAAGATGAAGCCAAGTCCACATCCCAGGCAATCCAACAAGAGAAAACAGAAACAAGAAAGAGAGACTACGTATCGGTTAGAGGCAATGGCTGAGCCTCTTTGTCGCCTCCCACTCGGCAAGCCCACGCTGAAACCTGGAGCCCCAAATTGGCCTCTCACGACTTGTCGACCCAGCGTTATACTACATAGTACCTACACAAATTATGACGATGAGCGATTTCAGGCCCTTGTCCAGCTGCCTTTACCGCCTATGAGAAACCATGTTGGATGTGTCTGCCGGGCTGTCCGTGCTAGCCGATGCGGCTCGGTTCCCAGTAACCTGGTTTTACCTGGGGGACTGGCCTGGGTAGCTGAGATGGCCTGGCGAATCTGGTGCTGCAAAGCCGCCATCGCCACCACCCATCAGCTTTCATGTGTCATGGCCTGCGCGGTGACAGTCCGTCTTCATGCGGCGCAACCACGGCGAGGCAGCCCGTTGGTTATTCCAAATTCCTCAAGACAAATACACGTTCAAGATCCCCATGTACCTGTCTATTGCCAGGTAGGTATTATTTGGGAAGCGGGGGAAGATTCCTTCTTGCGGTAACGTATGAACTTTTTTTTTCTCTTGCTTCTCATCTTACTTACTCGTCAACTTTGATTCGTCCAGGGTAAGTCGGCGCGGCAGACGAAGCAAAAGAAGAGACCAATCGGCATACTTGGTGACCCTACACCAGGTGGCTGGAATGGGTGTACGGCTCCAGTAAAAATGCCGGCACCACAACGACAAGCACACCAACTCGCACACGACAAAGAT